AGCGTTCAGTTGCGCATATAGCTCCGCCTTTGGTACCCTTTCCCATTTATGCAACCAATAATTAATAAATTGGTTGTTTTTTTCCATAAATACTGTTTCTGACTTTTGTTCTCCGTTTGATGTAGCCGTTCATACATTCCACTCAACGAAATAGGTCAAAGTAAAGTGTTCTTAATTTGTGCTGATATCAGATTTATATCGGTATCGGTTCAGACTGAAGGCTGTTGTTACATCCCACATCTATATCGCTGCATCGCCAGGCCCATTGCATCCAGTGTTGGGTCTTTTCCCTCATCTCCTTCTGTTTCCAGACCGGACTTCCTCTCGCTCTCGGAGCCCGCCAACTTTCTCGAAAACACCAGCTTTCTCTCTCTCTCTCACTCGCTGCTCAGCATTCCCCACACGTCCGCCTCATTGAGCGCCCCCTGCCGGGTAATGTTGAGAAGACAGCCGAATTTCTGTTATAATTTGTGCCCTCTGCCGGAAATATTTGTGCCAGGACTGTTATGAGTTGTAGACTGCCCAGATACTTTTTGTTCTGCTCTTTTTCCCTCCTTCTGGCTGGATTTTTTGGTCTTTCTCGAGAAGATCTTTTTGTTTTGAAATTGGAAATAAATACACATTGATTCTCTCAAGCCTGCATTTGTGTCTGTTTAAGGTTCCTGACAAAACAATCTAGCCACTATGGACACAGCAGGCTCAGATTCCGTCCGAACTGCCGTTACACAGCAAGGAGCGTTGCTGGGGCAACATGAGGTCAGACTGACCAATACCGCTCGAGAGGTGGATTTCCTGGCCAATCAGGTAGCTGAGTTGACAGCAAGAATTCAAGAGCATCGCCTCGTTAAGGGCTTGTGTTTGTACTGTGGCAAGCCAAGGCATTTCGCAGCCACTTGTCCTTTAAAAGGCACAGCTCGCCAGTGAAGAGGGGGATCCTAGTGAGCACCACTCCTTTTTTGAATTCCTTCCCTTCTCGTACTGTTATTCCTGTCTCTGTCCAGTTTGGGGATCTTCCTAACTCCTGTTCGGCCCTGATCGATTCTGGAGCTGAGGGTAACGTCATAGATCGTTCCTTGGCTGCTTTGTGGGGGATTCCTGCCCTTGCTCTTTCTGACTCTATCCCTGCCCGTTCCCTTAATGGCACTCTTATCACCACGGTTCCCCATAGCACCCCTCCTATCACACTCATTGTCTCAGGCAATGACCGTGAGGTCACCACGCTGCTCCTCCTTGACTCCCCAAGTGCCCCCATAGTTTTGGGGCACCCATGGCTACTGCAGCATGGCCCACACATTGATTGGTTGAATAATTCATTTTTGTCATGGAATCAATGTTGTCTTGCTACGCGTTTTTGGGTCCTGCCTCTTTTCCTGTTTCTGTGTGTCCTGTCCCGCAGGTGGAGTCGGCTGATCTGGCTGGGGTTCCGGCGAAGTACCATGACCTGCGTGAGGTGTTTAGCAAGTCTCGGCCCACCTCCTTGCCTCCCCATCGTCCTTATGATTGTGCCATTAAACTCCTCCCAGGCACTTCTCCGCCAAAGGGTCGATTATTTTCCCTTTCTGGTCCTGAGAGAGAGGCCATGGACCGGTACATTAACAAATCTCTTAAAGCTAAACTCATCCGACCCTCCTCTTTCCCTGCAGGCGCTGGGTTCTTCTTTGTCAAAAAGAAGGATGGCTCCTTGTGTCCTTGTATTGATTATTGAGGGCTTAACGACATCACTATCAAGAACAGGTACCCCTTACCTCTTATGTCGTCTGCCTTTGAGTTATTGCAAGGAGCCAAGGTCTTTACCAAACTTGACCTCCGCAATGCCTATCATCTGATTCGCATACGTGAGGGGGATGAGTGGAAGACAGCCTTTAACACCCCTACGGGACACTGAGTACCATGTCCTACCATTCGGTCTGACCAATGCCCCGGCGGTCTTCCAGGCCCTGGTCAATGATGTGTTGAGAGACATGGTTAACCGCTTTGTCTTTGTGTACCTTGATGATATCTTGATATTTTCCCCATCCCCACAGGTACACACTCAACATGTTCGCCAGGTGCTACAACGGCCGCTGGAGAACCATTTTTGCTAAAGCGGAGAAGTGCGTATTCCATGCCCAGTCGGTTCCATTCCTAGGATTCATAATTTCGGCAGGAGAAATCCAGGCAGACCTATGTAAGTTAAGGGCCGTTGCCGAGTGGCCAACTCCTGACTCGCGTAAGGCTCTGCAGCAATTCCTGGGGTTCACCAACTTTTATCGGCAATTCATCAGTAATTTTGGGTAGATTGCTGCACCCTTAACGTCACTCACCTTTCCTAAGGTATCGTTCAAATGGAAAGCTGATGCACAGCTGAGGCCTTTGATAAATTAAGGTCCCATTTTATCTCTGCTCCTGTCTTGTCTATTACAGATCCTGAACGACAGTTTATTGTTGAGGTAGATGCCTCTGATGTCGGAGTAGGCGCAGTCCTATCTCAGCGGTCACGTCTAGATGGGAAAGTGCATCCCTGTGCCTTCTTTTCCCACCGCCTGAGTCCTTCTGAACGGAATTACGACATAGGTAATCGGGAGTTGTTGGCGGTCAGGTTGGCTTTGGGGGAATGGCGTCACTGGTTGGAGGGGGCAGCTCAACCTTTTCTGGTCTGGACGGATCACAAGAATCTGGAATACATCCGTTCAGCCAAAAGGCTGAGCTCCTGACAGGCTCGCTGGGCCCTTTTCTTTGGCCGTTTTAATTAGGGATGCTCAAAATAATTGATTAACAGTTAACCGAAAGGGTGCGTTTGTGAGCGATTAATGCTATCAGTTAAACGATTAAAATTATTATTTTATATATATTTAGTTTGACTGCATAAGGGGCCGATTGAATGTGCCTTTGCGTTAAGAGGGGCATCTTTTGCACGCGGCTCATCCCAGAGCAGCAGTTTGTGTTGTCAAGACAACTACAGAGAACTTTTAAAGAGCTTGGTTTCCGCTACATTTATTCTTTCTCCCCAAGCTCCCCTCAGCCAAAGAGACAGCACAGGTGGTGATTGATCATGTTTTCCGGATTCATGGTCTTCCGGTCAATGTGGTCTCTGATAGGGGCCCCCAATTTGTCTCCTGATTTTGGAAGGAATTCTGTCGACAGATCGGGGCCTCAACGAGTCTGTCTTCTGGATTCCATTCCCAGACCAACGGGCAGTCTCAGCGGGCAAACCAGGATTTGGAACGTACTCTCCGCTGTCTGACATCCCACAATGCTAGCTCTTGGTGCCAACAACTGCCCTGGGTGGAGTATGCTCACAACTCCCTCCCGTCATCTGCCACAGGTATGTCTCCATTTCAATGCTTTGTGGGTTTCCAACCTTCTTTGTTTCCCTCACAGGAACTCGAAGCTGCTGTCCCGTCTGCCCTTGCGTTTGTCCAGTGGTGTTGCTGCACTTGGAAGAGAGCTAGGCAGGCCTTGGCCTGGGTTAATAGAGGGAGTAAAGCAGCGGCTGATCAACATCGGACTCCTGCTCCCCGCTACAGGTGTGGTCAAAGAGTATGGCTTTCCACTAAGGACCTGCCTCTTAGGGTAGCCTCACGCAAGTTGGTACCCAGGTTCATTGGACCATACCGGATCACCAAGATCTTTAGTCCGGTGGTAGTACAGCTTAAGCTTCCCCCCACGCTTGGTCGGGTACACCCTACTTTTCATGTATCTAGGGTTAAACTTGTGCTGTACTCACTCCTTGTCCACCCCCCGGCTAGTGGATGGCTCCTCAGTTTATGCTGTGCGGAAATTGCTAGATGTCAGACGCAGAGGTCGGGGCTTCCAATACCTAGTGGACTGGGAGGCTTATGATCCAGAGGAAAGGAGCTGGGTTCCGGCCCGGGATATTCTGGATCAGGCACTGGTCAGGGACTTCCGTCGACAACGAGGTGAGCCCCTCCATGCAATCGTATTCGTAGGGAGGGGGTACTGTCACATCCCTAGTCTGATCACGCTGTCTTTTTCTGTGTGTTTGTTTACATGTCACGAGAGAACGTGAATGTTTTGTTTTGATCAGTCACCTTGTGTTCACCTAAGGCATCCCTCCCTCGTTACCCAATCTTTCTATTTACATGATTGATTTCGCTCACCTGCACTCCGAGTAGCTTTCCTCCTGCCCTATTTATTCCCCTCGTGTGTGTCGTCCTGTGCTAGATCGGTGTTTGCGAGTGCGCTCATGCTCAGCCACTCATGTCATGTCCTGTCTTGTTCTCTCTCTCTCTCTGCTAATCCAGTGGGATTTCTGTGTCGTTGCATCGCCAGGCCCATTGCATCCAGTGTTGGGTCTTTTCCATCATCTCTGTTTCCAGGCCGGACTTCCTCTCGCTCTCGGAGCCCGCCGGCTTTCTCCGAAACACCAGCTTCCTCTCTCTCACTCGCTGCTTTGCATTCCCCACACGTCTGCCTCATCGAGCGCCCCTTGCCGGGTAATGTTGAGAAGACAGCCGAATTTCTGTTATAATTTGTGACTTTGTTCCGGCTGTTGTTTTGCTTTTCTTTTTGTCTGAGGATCACGAAGGGGACGCCCTCTGCCGGAAATATTTGTGCCAGGACTGTTATGAGTTGTACACTGCCCAGATACTTTTTGTTCTGCTCTTTTTCCCTCCTCCTGGCTGGATTTTTTGGTCTTTCTCAAGAAGATCATTTTGTTTTGAAATTGGAAATAAATACCATTGATTCTCTCAAGCCTGCATTTGTGTCTGTTTAAGGTTCCTGACAGCTGCAATATCGTTATGGTATTGGAACTTAAAATGTTGTATCGGGACATCTCTAGTGATGTGTGTGTGTGTGTTCCACCAGTACTTCCAGTAGTAGTAAATATTAGACAAAGATTTTTAAAACTATAGTCCTTGTTTTTATTAGCAATTTTACTGGGCATGTGTGTTTGTTTGCTTGGTTTTCAAGAGGCGGTGCATGGAATATCAACTTTATTTCTACGAACAAATTTAATCATTCCCCAACACCTCTAATTTTAGTCTTTCTTTCCCAAGCAATACAACATCAAACAGTCATATTCCTTGGAGGGTCAGGTGGTCATGGGACCTCACCTGGATTTCACAACTGGCTTCAGATGTGGTCTGAAATTGAAGTATGCTGAAGATACCTTTCGCACTCTAAAATTTAAGGTAATGTCTACATTAAATATTGTAACTGATAGCTTGTTTTGGGGGGTTAAACAAGGAATGTATAGGAGAACAAGTCCTGACTCCCCTTGTCCCCTTGTTATAAAGGGGTGTGTTGCAGACCCAATTTGTTCTGCCTGGGTAAATCAAAACCACTATTTGTTGTTGGACTGTTCTTGATTGTGTGCTTGTGATGGAAATGATTTTTAATGTTTTTGTTTGATTGCAGTCTTACTGAGCTAGAGTATTGTCATTATGTTCAAACTGAGCTAACAGTAATATTTATCTAAAGTGCAGCAGTCGTGTCCCACTGAAGGTGGTGATTTCTAACATACAACATCATTTGTTGAATGAAGCTAAAAGTTTATCTGCCCTTTTTGCTTATAGGTGCTTTTTGGGCATTAGTTTGGAGACGGAAGAGGTCAAAAAAGCAGAGAAGACACAACCAGCAAGTATGTACTTTTATAAATTATCTTGAATAGATGACTGCCTAGTTTTGCAAGTAATTTTAACTCGTTCTCCCTCTCTGAAACACTGCTTTTTACATGTATGATGTCAGAATATTTTTTTAATCACAGTTTTCTCAGTCGCTTTGGTGCATTTTTCACAACACTATTTACATTTGCACAACAGGTAATGCATTTCTCAAAACAATTAGTACGAACTACAAAACCTTGTTAACCTGCATGTCACTTGCTCAAAATGGATAGCTCATTCCTTAAAAGCAAGTCGGCTATTGATGTCAATGAAAGTGTCAGTGTCATCAAGATGAAAAGTCCTGACCCCATTGTTTTATGAATAAGATAGTCAGAGGGCTTTGTCATGTTTTCATTATGTCAGTTTACTCTGTACATTTTTTCCCAATGCAAAAAAGTCAGATTTTGGTGACACTTCCGGAAAACGCTCAAGACAGCACTACTATTTGCACGGCCATTCGAAAACTACAGTAAAGTTAAACATCACTGCATTTAGTGAGGTATCGGAGTACAAGACAATGAATATGTATGTTTCACATTTTTACTGCATTTGCTCTTTACAATTCTAAATTGTTCACAGCATTGTGCAAAAGAGTAAATACAACAAACATAAACTCCCTTTGGGTAGAGCTGTGCACAACTGTACACAATATTGTATTACATATTGGAACTGAACCTACAACATACACTGGTCTGTAAAGCATTCATGAAATTGATCAATTTAGACATTTTCAGAAAAAAAAAAGATTTTAAAATGTTTATAAATTTGCTTGACAGATTTTGACAACTAGTTCAACATGTTTGCATGTAATGAAATGAGGACTGTTAATTTTATATGGACTGACTATTCAGCATTCACAAGTTTGATTAATTTTGATTGACATGACATTAGCAAATTATAACGTTATAAAACAGCAGAGAGTTGTATGAAAGCAATTGATGCATGTCCAAAAGCATTTGGAATTTGCTGGAAGGAATGGAAAACTGCTACTATGATGATGTGCACAAATGACAGTTTTGAGAAATGCATTAACTGTTGCGCAAATGTAAATAGTGTTGTGAGAAATGCACCAAAGCCACTGAGAAAAACTGTAATGTTCTTATAGTATTTTTTGGTTGAGGCTTCACATTTTGAAAACTTTCTGAAATGTTTACACAGATGTCATTAAACTGTTAAATAAATGTGTAAAATGTATGTGTGTTTGTTTTTATTTTGATTTTAGAGTCGTCTCAGATTACCCAAAAATGAAGATTCTGTCATCATTTACACATTCTCAGGTTTTTTGGACACAAAGGGAGATATTTAATATTTTTATTCCAGTTTAACAAAAAAAAATCATATTTAACAGACCTGGAACAACCTGAAGGTGAGTAAATCAAGACAGAATTTTCATTTTTGTGTGACCTAAATTTGCTTTGAAATTTTACAGCACCAAACTGTTAAGTTACAGTAATCTTTACAGTTAAATCAGGTTTTTCAATTGCAACCTACTGCTAAATCACAGTAATCATATTGTTTCATAAATTTACAGCAAATTATAGTTAATTCTACAAGATAATACTGTGAAATCACAGTAACGGATTTTCTTATATCCTGTAAAGTTACACTGTATGGCTGTAATTTCACAATAATTTAATGTGACAAAATCACAGTAAATAACTGTGAACTATGTCACAATTTACTGTAAATTTACATACAGTAATTTATTGTGAAAGTTATGCAATTATTAGCCAGTAATTTGCTGTGAATTTAAGGTAAAAAAAATTTAAAGTGTAAGGCTAAGGCAAGAAATACCACTTTGTCTTTAAAGAAGGGGAGTACACCGACAGAAACTCAGAGTTTAGAGAATAAACCTGCTCCTGACCAGGTTAGGTTCACAGAGTAAGTTACCACGGTAACTAGGTGTGTAATGATACACCAAAAGAACAGTTTGGTTCGCGGTTTTGGAGCCACGGTTCGGTTCGGTTTCTGTTTACAGTGGGGTTAGGGTTTATGTCATCTTAACAGCAATGCTAAGGAACAATATATTTACTTAATAACAGGAGCATCTATACTTTTTCTTTATTAACTTTGCCATCACATTTTTAGTCAGAATACCGGAGTAAATGACAAAAACTAAATAAATACCTCCAATATAGACTAGTCAGAAAAAAACAATTATCTTTAGTGCAGATATCTTAATCAAGTAAACTAAAATGAAATAAATAACTGCAGTGTAGACTAGTGAAAGATTATTAAGAACACCATAATGTCCACATTCTCAGGTGAGAGGCTTGATCTCTGCGCAGACACAGACATGATGCTCATTTTTGATAATTAAGTTTTCATTCAGAAAGATAGGTTTCCGTTTAAATTAATGAAAAAAAAATACATATAATGTGTTTGCAAAGTGTTTTTACATGACATATTCACCAGTAAAATACTTAGCAGTTTTGTCAGAAACTAATGTTATGGTTGTAGGTGGCTGTATTTTTGCCTCCCGTTCTCTCTCTACCGCTCCCTCCATGCCTGTCATTTCTGCAGGTCTGTCTTCACGACAGCTGATGCCTGTCATTTCTGTAGGTCCGCCTTCACGACAGTCACCTACTCGGTCCCAGTCATTCCCCTCGCTGGCCAGCAGAGGTCATCATCACCGGACTATTGACATTACATCATCCACTTTACTGATTAGCACTCACACCTGCATTACATCTCCCAATCATCATGCTTTGATTATCGACCTTGTCCTGCCTGCCGCCTGCCTTGTACTTCTGCCTGAATATCGACTCTGATCCAAGCCACCTGCCCTAAACTCTAGCCTGAACACCGAACTTGATATTCGCCGCCTGTCTCTGACCCATGCCTTTATACTCATCCTGTGTTTACCTGCCGCCAGCCCTTCGACCTAATACAACTGTGTTTGATGCGAGTTCGCACACGCATTACATCTGTGTGCTTGTTGTTATTAAACTGTGTTTAATAAATATACTGCAAATGGATCCCTCTGTGTCAGCCACTTCGTTACAGAAGACTTCGCCAAACATGGATCCCACAGCCCTACAGGTCCTTTCCATCGAACTCACAACCCAAGCCTAGGTTCTAGCGACTCATTAGCAACAGCTTGCACATCTCACACAGCTAACGGAGGAACTAGTAAGTACCCTGCGGAATTTGAATGTTGCAACCCCAGCGCAACCCACCGCCAACTACTCTACCAGCCAGCCTCCAGTAACCTTTACTCCTCATCATGCCAGCCCCCGCCTGGCATTTCCTGACAAATTCTACGGTAATCCTTCTAATTGTAAAGGTTTTCTGCTACAATGCAAGCTGTTTGTCGCACAACAACCCCATATGTTTGCAGATGAGAACAGTAAAATTGCCTTTGTGTGCTCGTTGCTCTCTGGAAAAGCCCTGGATTGGGCTACTGCGTTCTGGCCAGAAAACACTACCACTTTTCCCACGTTTAAAGAGTTTCTCCAGCGTTTCTGTGTGGTTTTCGATCATCCAGAGGGAGGTCAAAACGCAGGTGAAGAATTACTCACGATTCAGCAGAACAACCAACCAGCGGCTGAATTCGCTCTTCATTTCCACACTTTGGCTGCACAAACTGGCTGGGCTGACGATCCCCTAAAGACCCTTTACCGCAAAGCCTTGAATCCTGACTTACAAACTGAATTAGCATGTAGAGATGATGGGAAATCACTTGATCAGCACATTGACCTCTATATCAGGCTGGACAATCTGCTCTGCATTAGAAAACCCTCACCTGTTGTTCTCTCCTACCCCAGTCAAGAGTCCGCTCCAGCTCCCACAGTTCCTGCTGAACCCATTCAACTGGGTCGAGCTCAATTATCACCTGAAGAACGTGAAAGACGTTTGAAGAATAATCTCTGCCTATATTGCGGATTTGGCGGTCATACGAAGGTTAAATGCCCCAATAAACCATCTTCCAAGACGTTGTCGGTGAATGTAACCTCAATCCTCTCTATTAATAACAATGCTCTTACTGTCCCCATCTCTGTGTGTTTTGGGAACACCACAGTTCACACTGTCGCTCTGGTTGACTCAGGAGCTGCTGGCAATTTCATGGATGAGACATTTGCTCATAGGAACACTATTCTACTAACCTCTTGTGATTCCCCCTTAGCAATCACGGCAGTAGACGGACGCCCCCTAGGGGATGGAAATGTCACTTACCGCACTACTCAACTGTCAGTTCAAACAGGCTCGCTTCACAAGGAAGAGATGGAGTTTCTGATCAGTAAGTCTCCCCAACATCCCATCATTCTCAGGTGGCCGTGGTTACAGACACATAATCCCCTCATCTCCTAGAAAACTGGTGAGATCTCAAAGTGGAGTGAATCAAATTTGAGAAATCGTCTATGTTCTGTCATCCCTGTTCAGCTCAATACCATTGCTACCAGCCATGAAATCCCTGAAAGTTCCATGATCCCCGAAGAATACAAGGATTTATCAGAAGCGTTTAGCAAGAAAAAAGCCACAAAACTCCCACCTCACCGTGAGTATGATTGCGCTATAGATTTATTGCCAGGCATCACGCCCCCTCGTGGGAGAATCTTTCCTCTGTCCCAAACAGAAACCGAAACGATGAATGCATACATTAAGGAGGAGTTGGAGAAGGGATTCATTCGGCCGTCCACTTCACCCGCATCCGCCGGTTTCTTTTTTTGTTGAAAAGAAGGATGGAAGCCTGCGCCCCTGCATTGACTATAGAGGTTTGAATGAAATTACTGTGAAGTACCGCTATCCTTTACCCCTGGTCACTGCTGCCCTGGAACAATTATGCTCAGCCAAATACTTTACCAAACTTGATCTTCGCAGTGCCTACAACCTCATACGCATTAAGTGGGGTGATGAATGGAAAACCGGCTTCTCAACGACCACCGGCCACTATGAGTATCGGGTGATGCCCTTCGGCCTGGAAAACAGTCCTTCAGTCTTCCAAGCATTCATTAATGAGGTATCTCGTGACATGTTGAATCAATGGGTAATTATTTATATTGATGACATTCTCGTCTATTTAGAGACGCTAGATGACCACATTCACCATGTACAAGCCGTACTACAGAGACTCATTCAACATCAGCTATACGCCAAAGTGTTCAAGTGTGAATTTCACCAGACTTGCACTTCGTTCCTGGGGTACATAATCAGTGCAAATGGAGTCGCCATGGACGAAGATAAGGTGAATGCTGTTTTGAACTGGCCAAGACCCAACAGGGTGAAAGAAATGCAACGTTTTCTGGGGTTTGCCAACTTCTATCGCCGATTCAAGTGAAACTTCACCTCTGTAGCCGCACCACTCACGTCTATGGTGAAAACAGGAAATTCCAAGCTGAAGTGGAACCCCGACGCTGTCCGAGCCTTTAACCACCTCAAAGCCCGGTTCTCTTCAGCACCTATCCTCTGTCACCCCGATCCCAAGTTACCCTTCACTCTTGAAATCGATGCCTCTAATATGGGCATCGGAGCCGTATTATCATAGAGACAAGAGTCGTCTAACAAGCTCC